CAGAACTAGGGACACTGCTGTCCAGCACTGCAAAGTAAATGTATTTTTTGTGCATAGATATATATATTGAAGAAATGAATATAGGAGGAATTAAAATCCCACTGTTCATTAGCTTTTTGTGGATACTACCCAAGTGTACCTAAAACTAGTTGCTTAATCTTCTTCATTCAGAAGATGTATTAGAGTGCATAGTTTGCAAAACCAGACAAATGGCTAGTTGGAGGAATTGTATGTCTGCTTATATTTCTTTTGTCATTTGTCCCAGGAAGCCTTGTGATAGTTTCTTTTTTTCAATGTCTTTACATATATTCTGATGTTACAATGAACCTAAGGAAAAACAGTGGCATACATATCACGGTGTATTAAATTCTTGTAAAGTTTCAAGTTTACATTTTTTTATGAGGCGGGAAGAGTGACCTAAATGAACAAAAACTCAAATGCATCTCTTTTGTGTACCAGATTGTAGAGACCCGACAACAGCAACACATCATGTCAGAGAAAGAGATTATGATGGAAGCAAATTGTGACTTCATTGTCAAGCTCTTCAAGACATTTAAGGATCGCAAGTACCTTTACATGCTGATGGAGGCTTGTCTTGGAGGAGAACTTTGGACAATCCTAAGGTAAGCAATAAGGTGCTAAAACATGAGAAGATGCTTGATTGAGGACTAGACGGTGTTTTTTAAGGGTAAACTGTAGTAGATGGAAAGGTCTGTTGGTTATTTAACACATTTTTCATCCTTTGTGTTAAAAGACATTTATTGGATTTTTTCGTTTTCTTTTTTGTGGGAATCCACAGACAAAAGAGGAATTATACAGGAATGGCACCTGAAGTATCACTTTTTGATTGCTTAAGGAGATTTTCTTTTGTATATCTATATGCTTATACCATATTACCCCAACCTATTAGGTGTCAGTAATTTGCATTGGTATCTATTTAACTTTTGTAATTAAAACTGACTCTTCTAATAACCAGTAGGTTGCTCATAAATTGGTAAAAGCCTTTCTATTGCTCCCACGTTAACAAGTAATGATAGTGCCTAATACTGTATTTTATGTTTTGTAACAAATATCCTTGAGGAGATGATTACATGAGATCAGTCACTCTACTTTTTGCTGACTTGCATTTCCGATTTCTTAACCCATAAGGAAACAGGAGCGTAGTATGATGCGTGGACTCCCCTTTTTTCCCTACAAAAGGTAAAAGCGTGGTTCATATTGAGGTGTGCATTGCATTTGGTTTCCCCCATATTATTCTTACAAAAGTCTTGCCAGTTTCACTGTCCATAATGTTCAGTGTGCTATCATACCCTTTTCATAACTTAAAACACCAACAAAAACAAAAAGGAAAACACCAGAGCACATACTACTGAACAGACAGACAGTTACTACCAGTCATGACAGTGTTATTATTGTTGTTGCTATTATTATTATTGTCATTAATATTATTCATTTGGATGGGCTGTTGTTATAATTATTTGTTATTAGTTCCGTTACATATTCTCCAACAGTACATAAACCAGCTTAAATGGTAAAACATGACCATTTTGTAACAGTGATATAGAAATCCTTTTAAGAACTTCACTGAACTGAGAAACAAGTTTCAAAACCCCTCTCAATTACATATGAAACAGTGGTTCTTAACGTTTCTATTACCACCTCCTTTGGTAGTTGGACTTTGCCTTCACACACCCCTTCCTTACATCTTCAGATTAAAGAGTTGTACAGATCCTCCTGAGTTCGAAGGAAATGTTGGAAACAATATTTTGTTTGTATAGGCAACCATTATGTACACAGCAACAAATGTTAGAAATATCATTATATGATTGGAGAAACTACTTTCTTCAAATCTTGTGACCCCCTCCCCCTGGGTAAGAACCACAGGACTGCCATGTCAGCATGTTCTTTGGAATTGAAAGATATGCAAGTGGTTGCCCCGTTTTTGCCTTTTAAAATGTTCTAGCTATGAAATATGATGTATGAAATAGACTTCTCATATGCAGATAAAATCACTTGTAAGTGCTAGCAAGGAAAGACTTTTTTTCAAAATATATTTATATGCAAAAGTAAGATTAACTTACATAAAGTTGAAAGAGAAGAAAGGGAGACTGTATGTGTGAATGTTGATACATACAAAACACATTCTTATGCATATGTATTTTATATATGTATGTGCATAGAGATGTGCATATATACACATTCACACAGATGCACAATTTATTTATGTCATACTTGTAATTAAGACTATATTTGCTTGTTGGATAAACTAAGTATATGAAAAGACAGTTACCAGTAACTAGGTCAGAGTGAAGTGCAACAGTGCCATTGTTATTTGTTCATACTACAAAAAATCCAGATTAAAATAAAATAGTAAAGAAACTTTACTGTTTTGAATTGTTGCAAAAAAAATCTGGTAGGAATTGAATGTCTGGAGATGTGCCAGAATTTGTTTTCTGTGGACTGTACTGAATGAAACTGAATTCTGTGTCATTTCTAAAAT